TCTCTAGTGCCTTTAATGTGCTCTACGTCATCCATGAAATCCTGGTGTGGATAGATGTTCCTTGATCACATCTATCTCCTCGGGAGACAAAACGTTCGGGAGCATCTCTAACACATAAAGCACATAAACCCAGACCTTAGGTAAAATACATTATTCTCAGAATATCTATATTAATCATAGAAAAACAATTCGTCTCGTCCACGAAAACCGAAGTTTCGTCGTGCCTTTCGTTGCACTGTTTGCACAACTTGGGAGTTTCGTCTCCACCAGATCTCATTCGAGCATGGATGCTTCGACGAACACTCCCTCTGGAGCTTTCGATCCATCACTTCGACGTACTTAAAGCTCCACCAATCTCTTTTTTCTACCCGGGCAACATCATGGATGCGTTGCTGACTTGGATTTGCTCGTCACTGGCCGCCCTGCTGCTCCTCTTCCAGATTTTCCACTCCACCAGCGCGAGGAGCAAGAAGAACTTCCCACCAGGTCCTTTCTCATGGCCCCTCGTTGGCTCTCTCTTCTCGCTCGACTATCGGCATCGCTCCCTGGCCAAGATGGCTCGAAAGTATGGCCCTGTTATGTCTTTCCGGTTGGGAGTCCGGCCTCACATCATCATCAGCAGCCCGGAGATGGCGAGGCAAGTCCTCAAGGAGCACGACGTCGAGTTTGCGAGCAGGCCCCTGTTCTCCACCATCAGTCGGCTCGTTAGCCACAACTTCCAGGACCTTATCTTTGCACCGCACGGCGAGCGATGGAAGATGCTGCGGCGAGTGTGCGGCACAGAGCTCTTCACGGCTTCCAAGGTGAGCCACTTTGCCAGCACTCGCAAGAGGGAGCTGGGAGCGTTTGGAGCGATCGTTGAGGCGTCTGCAAAAGACGGGCACGAGTTTGATCTCAGCTCCATGCTGCACGAGTACTTCACCAACCTCATGACGTGCGTGTTGTTCGGGAGGAAATTCTACGGCACCGACACGCTGCTCACTCCCGAGGCCGAAGCCTACAAGGCGTCGTGGGCGATCCAAGCGAAAGAATCCAGGAGGCTGTTTGCCGGTGATTACATCCCTGCGATGCGATGGCTGGACACGCTCAGAGGGACGCAAAACCGACTCAAGAATGAAGTCCTACCAGCAAGATCTCGCTTTCTGGAAGCAGTCATCGAGGAGCACGCGAAAGACTTCGATCCAGAAAATCCCCGGGACTTCGTCGACGTGATGCTGACTCTGGGAGGAGAAGACAAGCTGAGCAACGACCAGATCATCGCACTGCTCCAGGTAGAAAGAAAAAACTTACCTTGTTCTTCATTCTTTCTCACGTATGCTTGCAGGATCTGCTGCTGGCCGGCACTGGAACGTCCAAGGGGACGATCGAATGGGCCATCTCCGAGCTGATAGTAAACCCCAGAGTCCAGGAGAAAGCTCACGAGGAGCTGGACAGAGTCGTGGGAAGAGACCGTCCCTTGGAGGAGTCGCATCTAAACGACCTGCCTTACATCCAAGCCATCGTCAAGGAAGTCTTCCGGAAGCGTCCAATCGCGCCGCTGGGCGTCCCCCACTACAACGATCGCGCGGTAACTCTCGCCGGCTACACGATCCCCGCCCATACCACAGTCCTCGTGAACATCTGGGCAATCCATCACGACCCAAGCATCTGGAGCGACCCCGAGCTCTTTCTCCCCGAGCGATTCCTGGGCAGCGACCACAGCGTGCTGGGAAACGACTTCGATCTCCTGCCCTTCTCGTCCGGGCGGCGCCGCTGCGTCGGGATCCCGCTGGCCATGCCCCATGTCACGCTCACCCTCGCCTACCTCTTGCATCGCTGGAGCTGGCGATCGCCGCTTGGGAAGCCGATCGAGATGGCGGAGCTCGCGGGCGCGGGCATCGCCGGGGTCGCGTCGCCCCGCATTGTCTGTGCCTCCCATCGCTAGAGTCCTAAATTCAAATTTAGGGCTTGAAGTTATCTTAAGGGGAGCTATTTGCGGCTAATGAACTCGCATTTCTCTCAATCGCGCGTCTCATGGTGTGAAGCGTATTTCTTCCTCGGTTTTCTAAGGAGTGGTATAGAAAGGAGACCGGAAATCCGTCGACGCAGAAGGCCTTCGTCCGGAAAGATTTCTCCACAGCAGTCGTCTTATTCGGTTGAGGTGCTGTATACAGACTTGAATCAGCTTCCACCAAATTCCTCCTTATTGAAGCCGAATCCTTAATCGAATTATTAGTTCTCTAATCTATAAATTTCTAGTGTCCCATCTAGTGTGGGGCAATGAAAAGTGGGTTTTAAAGTGCTTTTATAACACCTCTTTCAATCCAAAAATGCCCATGGTTTTATTAGCTTCATATAACTCCTCTTGTAGTGCATCATTGTCATCTCACTCCTTTGCTTATACTTCCAATGTGATATAAGAGAATGGTTGCATTACCACACTTCTCAGTGAAGCAAATAAAGACTACTATTTGCCAGCTTTCAATTATTTCCTTGAGCCAAAATTGATACTACTTGCTCACACTACTGTCAAACCATAAGCACTTGAAGAATTCCCTTTGGTAGGATGATATTCTGTACTTGAAACAACTATATAAGGGTGTCCATCCCTATATTTGCGAGAGCCCCCATCAATTGCCCACTATAGTGTGGTCTTCTTCATGCCTCTATGATGATGAAGTGCATATTATTTCTCCAATTTGTCCTAGTTCACAGAATAATGTTTTTCACATCACTGCCCATATGCAAGAGTCCACTTTTTCCAAGTAGTTGACCATAATGTTCACCAACCTTGAACTATTGAGGTGTGTGATGGCTAGGTTTTCTAGGATGTCATCAATGGTCTTTTGGCGGGCATCCTCCTCCAACTTGCAGATTGCCCCACATAATAGGTTGATATCTTCTCATATCCCAAAGGTACAAGACTTGAAATCCATCTCAAACACATCACTATTAATCATTTGGAGTAGGGATTTTGCTTGTTTCAATAGCAAGTGTGGCAATTGTGCAGGGTTGGGAGGCCATTGCATTGCATTCAAAGGAATAAAAGCCAGCCAACAAATATAGCTTATATAGTCATTATAATGCAAATCTATTAAGACTTCCTTACTGTCTTTTTTAGTGTAATGTTGTGCTCTGCCTTGGCATATGTGGATGCCAACACAAAACACATCCTAGTAGGAAAAAGGCAATGTGATTATAAAAGTCTATCATCAAATGTGTATAGGAGAATTTTTCAAAACATTTACATTTCTCTTGGATTTCACAATTCTAGCAACTGAAAACAACTAAACTTGTTCTCAGGAGATATCTAAACTCTAATTTGTTGCATTGCTTTATATATAACATTCTTTTATGGCCCCCATACATTGATGGTTGTTATTGACCAAATCAAGGTGTGAAACTTAGAAATTTTATTTATAAAACTAATAGATTTGCTAATTTTAATTTCCTTCATGTCCTCCTATATGATGGAAGCATTACATTCTCTATTATAAACCTCGAGAACTAGTAGTATAAAGTGTTTGAGGCGTTACACTGCTTGAGTCATGGAAAGCCAATGCCTAGGGTTTTTCTCTCACTCGAGTGACCGCCAACTCTTCTCTTTTCGTGTGTGTAGCTTTGTGGATGCTGGAATGCTTGGAACTCAGAGATCCAAGCACGGTTAGATATGGGCAAAGAGCTGCGCCATGGGGATCGTAAGAGAAATGGCAGACAAGCTCTTGTTTTTCATACGGTGAGGTCTATGCCGTGTACTTTCTGGTGCTGATGCGACGAAGACGACTTGGAACCTTAAAATCTACAAAGCAAAAACCCTATTTTATGCATAGGGCTGCTGGGGTGGATGCCATGTGTCGTGGCGGAATGGTTCCGCAGCGGCATAGGCTCCAGACTGCTGATGGTTGTGAGGGCAACGTTCTCTCACTTTGGACTGGAGCTGGATCATCCCGTGGTTCTTCGAAGTCCTGGTCTCTTCCACTGTCTCGGAGCTCAAGTGGAAGATCTGGACTGTGGCCGTCGCACGCGTCCTTGGCGCTACCGTGCCGGATGGCTACTTGCACCTCTTCATCGCGGCCGACTACTTCACGCGCCATAGCCCACATCAAGAGCAATCTAGAAATCCTCATCCCCGCCCCGAGTGCTGCACAGGCCGCTGCACGTACGCCCTGACCGAACTCCACCTTGTGAGTGCTTGTTTGTAGCAAAGTTATGGTTTTTTTTCTTTTTTGCAGGTCGAGGAGGCCACTGATCGGACGCCAACGTCTTTCCCATTGGTCATCACAGATGAATATGTGTCAGGTAGCTAGGCGTACTTCTTCTTTGGATTCCTCTCAAACTGAGAGCTTGGTTCCTTTTCCACAGCCATCGTGTCGATATTGTTTCCTTGCACTCTCTCGCCCACTTGCGTTGCTGATGCCGCTCTCCTGTTCGATGCGAGCGGCAAGGTTTGTGTCGTCGTCTTCACCTGGCTGTTGCTCCAGCTCCAGAGCAACAAGCAGCCGCTGGAATGGCTCGACGCATTCGAAGCACAAGCTATAGCAGGTGACCGTGGTGGCCGTGGCGGAGCTGGACCCCTGGAAAATCTCTTGCTGCTGTTCTTGAGCAAGCAAGCAGTGCTGAAGGATGAAAAGTTGTCCCCGGCATCCTTGGACAAGCTCAAACGGATACGTTCCTGCATCGAAAACGCGCCCAGGATAGAGTGGAAGTCCATGGACCTCACCGTCGCTCTGCGCCAGATGTTGGAGGTATGATGATTGATACCGTTTTGCTTGAAAGCATTCAACTTTTGTGTGGAAGGAGGTGATGGCAGCGGGAGAAATCCAATGGGACAACCAGATTCGTGCCCGGCTCGAGCAGTGGATCCAAGGCTACTACAACTTCCACCGCGTGGAGCCGCTCTTCCAGGAGCACGCAGACGTGAGCGTGCCGATTGCGCGCCTGATCTATACATGGATGCACACGAGGAAGGGATGCCGCGACCACGCCGAGCTCAAATCCCTGTGCTCGGCAGCAACATCATCGGAGTCGATTGTGGAGCACATCCAGGCTACGATGAGCCGGGGAAGCAGCGACGAGTGCCGCCAGCTTTGTGACGCGGCTGCCACCGTCTTTGGCAATGACTACGGTAGCCTTTTCGTGGAGATTTGCGCCAACGTGCAGTGGGATCCATGCCTGACCGCGTGCTCTCTAGAAGAATTCGGGGCGATCAAGCAGGCAGCCTGGGACGGACTCTTCCGGGCTGCGAGCTCCGACAGCACGCTTCAAAGGCACCGTTTTGACGATGGCAGCCGCAACGAGGCCATATGGAGACCTCGGATTTCCGACATGATCCTCTACATAGTTTATGTAAGCATGTAAATGATTCCATCCATCGCTTACGAGTTTGCTGCTGCAGCTGATCCTCGAGGACTGCTTGGGCGCCAGCGTTGATCGTGAGAGGTGGAAACGAGACTGTGAGTCTATACAGTGCCTTTCTCTTTGCTCAATCGTGATCCTTTTTGCTTGGATCGTCACAGGCAAGTCACTGCTGTATACCAGACGGGGGGGGCAGCGCGTGTCCCGCAGTGGAAAAGGGGTTTTTGTTGCGATTAGCAACTCCACCAGAGGAATCTGTGAGGCGTTTGCGGCGTGGATCCAGTCTCCAAGCACGCAGAGGGACTTGGATGCCATAAGAGAGGCAGTCGTCTCGGCTGGTGGAGTGGAGTATGACGAGGACAGGCCGCAACTCTGGGCCAGGATGCAAGAGCTGCTGGGTGTCACTGGCAACATTTGGATTTGCATGCTTGCTCGTGCCTATGTGCAGCATGAACACCACTTTGGTGCTTTCAAAAATGCCGCAAATTATTCCGGTGAAGATCTGCCCACAATTGTCCGCAAGCATTCAGGCCCAGAAAGTACACCAAGGATCGAAGTTTTCCACGGCCCCGGCAGCGCTTCCAGGATTTGAGTTTTGCTTTTGCTAGAGAAGTTTCCTTGCAATTGAGCTTTCTTTCAAAGCCAATTTGCTGAAGCTGTCAAACCGGGACCCAAAAGGAAGCACACCTTTTCTAGTAGGAGAGTCTGCGCGCGCTCGGGCCACCTCCGAAGAAATGATCCAAGAAGTACTGCCACGTCAGCATGTTCGAAGGCTTCACTTGCTATTAGAGCAACACTAAATAATAATAGTCAATATTAATTTCTAACTCAATATTGGCATGTCTAAAAAATAGTAATATTATTGTTATTTTACTTATTGCTAAATTTATAATTTTTATTTTAAAAATATTATATCTTCGAAAACCAAAATTATCTATAAGTAATCATATTTCATTTTTTGTTTTTTTTACAAGTGGAAACAAAAGCAAAATAAAACATACCTTAACAACCAAGTATTCAAATGTTTTATCAATTTTTAAAACTAGCAAGAGTTATAAAAGGTCTTTGATAACTTGGTAGGTTGAATTCCTCCTAAATTAGGTGAGTATATGACCATATGCCAAAACTAAATATCCAGAATTTTAAATTAGTATTTAAATAACCATATTATAGATCATAAATAGTTATATCATTTTTTACACCTTGTATTTTAGAAAAGTGTGAAAAAGTGTTATTTATAGTATTTTCTCCTAATCTTGTTCTCTAGAGCCCTTACCCTGATCTTATGATGATGAGCTTTTATTCTATGCTAGGAGCTGCTAGAAAAACACATAGGCAATCTTGAAGAATTACAAGGCTGTGACAGGGATCCAAGGTGACGGTTTGGAAGTTAAGATAGTAGCAGTTTACAAGCTCAATGTGCTTTTCAAGCAGCAATCCAAAAACCATGAACGAGCTGGATGCATATGAACTTGGATCCCTTGGGATCTAGTGTGGATTGCTCACTATACTTTTACCTCTTTTCACTACAAATGAAGCCTTCAAGAGAAGATCTCATTTGGAGATTTCACATGCTAATTACAATCAAACCCATTCCTCTAGTGGCTGCCAAACTTTAATCGCCAGGATCCCACAATGAGCATTTTCATCTCAGCAGAAGATCCAAGATTTCACTTGAACAATTAGATTCTAGACTCTAAGTTTTAGTTAAATTATGTTAAGGGTTATACTTTTTTATGTTATATGATTTTTATTAATTGTAAATAGGATATTCTTATATAATGTTATATTAACTATGTATGTTATAGTTATGATTTTTTTTAAAAATGATAACTTTTCACTCCCAACATAGCTGTAAGGGTCGAATATTCCACCACTAGACATGATGTTATTTATCATGTTTATATACCCATCCCATACACCAATGGGGCCATGCATGGATCATGATCCCATTCATCCAAGCCATTCTAAGTGTCACTATTGTGCATCTTTCATTTGCTTATTTCATTGAAAGGGGGCTGATGCCAGTTTTATGGGTAGTGTGTTCATGCCAAGTGATCCTAAATGGGATCCTTTAGATAAACTCTGCTCTATTTATGATGGTAGGCTGGATGGATACAATCTAAGTTCAAAAAGTGGGCAAGATTTGAGTTCTAATATAAAGTTCATTTCTTTTACACTCTAATAGTTTGGCTATGTTATTTTTATGTAAGGCTTTTTCAGAACAAAACAAAGGGATGTTTAAGGTTCCTTTGAACCTTCTAAATCTCAAATTGATTAGTGGGGGTAAAAAGACTTGTCTTGGCATTTGGAACAAGAAGGAAGAATACCTCAAGCCCTTAGATCTAGACTTTTTTGAGCATTGTGAGCTGGGCAATCTCTATATTATAGATATGTAGAGAAAAAGAAGCATGAAGATAGCTTTGTAAAAGTAGTGAATTTCTCTCATTAAAGTTCATATTAGTTCTCTAATATATAAATTTTTAGTGTCTTATCTACTGTGGGACAATGGAGGGTGGGTTTTAAAGTGCTTTTAGAACTCCCCCTTTCAATCCAAAAATGCTCATGGCTTTATTAGTTTCATATAACTCCTCTTATAGTGCACCATTGTCATCTCACTCTTTTGCTTATACTTCCAATGTGATATAAGAGAATGGTTGCATTACTACACCTCTCAGTAAGGCAAATAAAAACTACTATTTGCCAATTTTCAATTAGTTCCTTGAGCCAAAATTGATACTACTTACTCACACTACTGTCAAACCATAAGCACTTGAAGAATTCCCTTTGGTAGGATGATATTCCGTACTTGAAAAAACTGTAAAAGGGTGTCCATCTTTATATTTGTGAGAGCCCCCATCAATTGCCCACTATAGTGTGGTCTTCTTCATGCCTCCATGATGATAAAGTGCACATTATTTCTCCCAGTTCATGGAATAGTGTTTTTCACACCATTGGCCATATGCAAGAGTCCACTTTTTCTAAGTAGTTGACCATGATGTTCACCAACCTTGAATTACTAAGGTGTGTGATGGGTAGGTTTTCCAGGATGTCATCAATGGCCTTTTAGCAGGCATCCTCCTCCATTGATAGCATCTCATATCCCAAGGTACAAGACTTGAAATCCATCTCAAACACACCAGTTGCCTATCATTTGGAGTAGGGATTTTGCCTATTTCAATAGCAAGTGTGGCAATTGTGCAAGGTCGAGAGGCATTGCATTGCATTTAAAGGCTTGGAATAAAAGCTAGGCAACAAAACATAGTTTGCAAACCACTTGGGAATAGTCATTGCAATGTAAATCTATTAAAACTTCCTTACTTTGTCTTTTTAGTGTAATGTTGTGCTCTACCTTGGCATATGTAAATGCCAACACAAACCCCTGGCCTAGTAAGAAAAAAGGCTGTGTGACTACAATGCATAAGAGAATTTTTCAAAACACTTACATTCCTCTACATTGCTTTATGTATAACATTCTTTTATGGCCTCCCTTGTTAGGTGCCAGCTTTGACCACGTGGTCAACATCGGTCAAAGGGAGGCTCAAGGGCATATTAAGGCATGTTAAGGTAAAGGACTTAACCTACCCTAGGGTTTATAGTGGAGTGGCAGCATAGTGGAGCTTTTGAGGTAGCTTGGCAGTGGTTAGGTGATGATGAACCTCAAAAGGTGGCATAGCAAAGTCTAAGGAGACTAGTTCTCTGTCTTTTTGTGCCAAATTATAACATTGGTATCAAAGGAGTTGGTTACAATGGCCAACCAAACTGAATGATGGAATCCTATTGTTGATGGTGGTGCTGAAGATGGTGCCGATGGAACTGTGGAAGTTTGGACCATTCAAGATGTTGTTTATGAACTACGAGTCTTTAATCGAAATCAACAAGAGATGCAAGATAAGATGCATGGTATAATGGATACTATGCGTGAGCATGAGGCTGGACATGGTAGCACTCCAAGTAAGCTTTCCTTGGTAGATCAACTCAAGATTCCAACATTTTCTGATGATTGTGATGTGGACGATTGTCTCACTTGACTAGCCAATGTGAAGAAGTTCTTGGCTGCTAGGGGAACTCTGGATGTAGAGGCTTTAGTGGCTATTCTAATGGTTTTGCATGATGTGGGTCTTCAGTGGTGGAATTGGCTTGAGGAGTCTCATGTTGTAGGTAAGAAACCACCAATGTCTACCATGGATGAGTTTAAGGCTGCTTTTCATTTACATTTTGCCCCTCACTATGATGTGGAAAATGCTTATATAGAACTTTGACATTTTCAACAAAGGAAACTGATACTTAGGTACTATATTGAGAAGCTTATTCACTTGATTAGCTATGTTCCAACAAAGGATCCAGATCAAAACAAGTCCTACTTCATTGATGGCCTTCGTAGTGAAAGTATGTGGTAACACTTGCATCATTCTTAGCCTACAAAGAGTTTGGAGGAGCTCTTTGATACAGTTTGTCAACTTGACAATGACAAACACAAATTTTGCAAGCGTTCGCAAAGTCCTTATGTCGAGAATCATCGTGATGATCGCCGTGGACACAAGGATGGGAACAAGCATCACAAGTTGAAGTCAGTGGTGACTACTTCAGATGCAAAGGGGTCAAAGAAGCAAAAGTTCTTTGTGAAGAATTATAGACAAAGTTGTCATTATTGCAGTGAGTTTGGACACTATAAGGCTGATTGTCCACAGTTGAAGAACAAGCAGTAGGGCAAGAAGAATGGCCAATCTTCTACTGACAGTAAGTCAGATACTAAAAAGTTGCAAACTTTGTAGTGTGAGGATGATGGGGACCACCATTCTGGTCGGAGGAAGAGGCTTTCGAACATTGCTCATCAACTCAATTATGTGGGAATAAGATGGATGCTGGAGGGTGTATTCTGTGGTGGTCCAATATGGATTTTACTGGATAGTGGGAGCAATGACAACTTTGTTTCGGCAAAGTTTGTTGTGGAGCATGGCCTGTTCACACGAGGAGTTCTTCTATACATAGTGGAAGGTGCAGTTACCTCTAATTAGCATTTTGATGCTTATGTAGAGGGGTTGAAAGTGTTGGTTGGCAAAACCACACTTGTAGAAACTTTTTATCTCACGGATATCTATCGTGTGAATCTCATTCTTGGGATGCCATGGTTGGTGAAGGTGGATCCGGAGATAAAATGGAGTATTAAGCGTGTCTCACTGGAATACAGTGGTGTTAAAGATGTGTGGTTTGGAGAGGGAGTTGTTATGCTCTACACTATATCTTTGAAGTGGGTTTGTTGTAATGGAAAAACATTTTCAAGTTACTTACTGTTTATGCCAAGGAACATGTGGGGGAGAAGCAACAGTATAGGATGTACTCCAAGAGTTTTCCGATGCTTTTCCATCTGAACTTCTTCATAGGTTGCCTCCAATACAAGGTGTGGAGCATAGGATTACATTGGAGCTAAGGACATAGCCAATTTATTGGCATCCATTTCGGTTAAGTTATGCAAAGGAGCAAGAAGTTCAACGAGAAGTCAAGGAGTTACTTGAGTTTGGATTTATTTAACCAAGTAAGTCTTTATTTGGTGTTCCAGTCTTGCTTGTGAAGAAGAAGGACAATTCAATACAGATGTGTATTGACTACTGTGCCTTGAACAAGAAAATAGGGGCGTGTGGATGATATCCTAAACAAGCTTAGTGAAGCACGAGTGTTTACCAAGATTGATCTGAGGAGTGGATATCATCAGATTGCAATGGATGATGCATCTATCTCCAAGATAGCATTCAACACAAGCTTTAGACATTTTGAGTTTACAGTTATACCATTTGGTTTGACGAATGCACTAGCCATATTTACTCAGTTGATAACGAAGGTATTTAGG